ATTGAACAATTACTTCTTTTTTTTTTTAAATAGTAAGAATTTTACGGCACCTACAACCCAGTTAGGTGGAATAAGTGCCGGAGGTTAGAGGTGTCACAAGAAAGTAACGAACGCAAAAAGGAGGAGTGATAAGGACGGTAGAAAATTTGCTTGGAAAGAAGGAGCAAAATGCACAAGAGCACCCGCCAACCACCCTCAACGTTTACTTTTGACCTCTCTCGTGCGCGTTTACCTTCACTGTGTGGAATCCTGTTTTATGTTACAAGTGACGCATAGGACTCGATTACCGGAGATAATTTAGTCGGGCAGTGCTGGTTGGGGGGCGCCCCAGTTAGGTCCTACCAGAGAGTCTCTGGTCCTACTTCTTTTCTTTCCACCTAAATTGCTACTGTCTTTCCGTCTTACGTTTCCCGGCATTTAATGACAGTTATTGTGTCGATGTGCATCTCTGTTTACACAAACAAACAAAGTAGGGAAGCACCATTGACATTTGTCAATTTTGTTAACTTGAAGAAGAAACGAGGCGGTAGGGGTTTGCGGTGGGGAGATGAATTTCATCAACTGCACTAAAAACGGTCAAAACTGAAAGGTGGTCAGGTAACTCAAAATCCAGCTGTATAAATCTGTCCAAAATGTAATCTTAAATTTTTTTTTATTGTTTTAAATCTGTCTTTTGGGTGCCATTACGATTGTCAAAGTACAGCAGAACCTGTTCTAACGACCAACTGCTTAAGAAAATCTCCCATATGGCCACTTTCAATTTCTTCCCGTGTGTATTAAAAAAACCCCCACTATAGTGGCACTGTATCAGATAGTCACCAGTCTAATACAACCACTTCCCTACACGACGATGGATAGCCGCTTTCCACATTTTTGACTGTACTGGACAAGGGGTGGTTGTCTTGGACAGGTTCGACAGTATTTCAGTTTGAGTCACCGTGAGACGACCGTAAGTTTTGATTAGTAAGTAGTAAGTAGTCTAGTGTGGTTTGCTCCTTCTTTTCGATCAAACAATTATATTCCTTTTCTCTCCTTTTTGGTACGTTGCTCTCTTTAGTAAAATCTCTCAATCTCCTGTGGGTGGTTGGCAGGTGCTCTGGTGTGGTTTGCTTCTTCTTTCCTATCAAAGATCTATCGTCCTTATCTCCCCTTCTTCTTCTTTTTATGTTTGTTACTCTCTTGTAACACGCTAATCTTCTGGCGCTCATATATGACCTTATGCAGTTGCAAATGCCGTAAAACCTCTACTAAAACTAAACTATCTCAATCTCCGGCACTTATATGACCTACAGTCGAACCTGCTGTAACGGCTGCCTGTATAGGACAATCGCCTTAACAAACAACCTCTTCCCATTTCCTCACTTGCGTATTTTTTGTTTTTACATTACAATAGCCCTGTGTAAGACATCCATCTGTTTAAGACAAGACACTTTTCTCAAGGGAAACTGGTTGGTCGTCTTACGCGATATCGACTGTGTTTGTGCTGCAAATGCCATAAAAGTTTTACTAAAACTAAACTTTGGTTTGAGTCTCCGTGAGGCTTTCGTAAGTTTTGATCAGTGAGTGCTCTGGTGTGATTTGCTCCTTTTTTCCTATCAAACATCCTTCGTCCTTTACATCTCTTTCCCCTTTTTTAAATTTGTTACTCTCTTGTAATATCGTGGGTGGTTGGCGGGTGCTCTGGTGTGGTTTGCTTCTTCTTTCGTATCAAACCTCTATCGTCCTTATCTCCCCTTCTTCTTTTTTTTGGTGTTTGTTACTCCCTTGTAACACCTCTAATATTCTGGCGGTCATATGACCTTTTGCAGTTTCGAGCGCGGTAAAATCTTTACTAAAACTAAAACTAAACTAACTCTTGTAATACCTCTAATCTGCGGCACATATGACATGATTGTGTTGCAAGTGCCGTAAAATGTTTACTAGAGCACAGTTTTGATTAGTGGTGTGATCCATGTAATGTTCCTGGTGCAGTCGCACTACTCGGAACTGCTCGCGTATAATGTTTGACGTCTTGCCTGTTTGTCCGCTACGGAAATGCTCAGCTGTACAAGGTGGATAAGCAATACATGTAGTTCTTTGGCGCGGCTCCAACTCTCCGTGCCGACTTCTTCCGTGGTTTTGTGTGTTTTTGTGTGTGCCTTTGGGGTGGGGGTGGGGTTTGTGTGTGTGTGTGTGTGTGTGTGTGTGTGTGTGTGTGTTTGTGTGTGTGTCTGTGTGTGTGTGTTTGTACGGATGGAGAAAGAGAGAGAGAGAGTAATGTAAACGCGTGTCTGCTGAGAGAGAGAGAGAG